GGGGGGCCCCGCCCCCGCTGCCGTGGCTGCCGGTTTGCAGGCGAACTTCTTCAGGTTGGGCGAGGTGATCTTCTGGACAATGGCCTCCAGCTTGAGGCCGCGGCCCTTGCGGGGAGGCAGCACTTTGGTCTTTGTGGCCTCCTGGAAGGCCGCCCGGGAGGTGATCTTGATGCAGACATCGGGGGCTTCCTTCGGCGGTGGGGGCTTTGGGATGGCTTCTCCAGAGCTCTTGGGGGGCAGCTTGGCTTTCACCTTCTTGGCCACAGGCATCTTCTTGAAGAGGCTGGGGGGGGCCTCTGGCTTCTCCTCCTTCACACCGCCGCTGTTGCTCCGCAGGACCAGGTTCCTCTTCTTGGCAGGGATGGGAGAGATGAAGGTGGACTTCCTCTTCAGCGAGTGCAGGGGCCGCTCGGACATCTTGCCCCCCACGCCCGGCCCCGTTTTAGGCAGCTTCATCCGGGCACCCACCTTGCCCTCCTTGTGGGGGCTGCCCGGGGCTGCCAGCTTGAAGGCGGGCGGGAGGTGATTGTTGGGGATGAGCTTCTTGGGCGCCTTGCAGTTCTTCAGCCGGACGTCAGCTGCCCGCTTGCCCCGCCGCCTCTTGGTGTAGAAAACCTCCTGCGTCTTCGTCCGGGAGCGCAGGATCATCGACCGCTGGTCCCTCTCCCCCACCTCCACCGCATCCCCCTCCGGCGGTGTCGGCCCCACCGCATCCTCCGCTGTCACTAAGCCAGGCACCAGGAGGGTGGCATCGCCAGAGTTTTGGACCACCTTGGGGGCTGGCCGGCCACTGCGCTTCCTGGCTTTGAAAGCCACTCGTTGTTTAACGCCACAGGCGGGCTTCTTCCCCAGCTTCTCCTGGTGTGTGGGGGGCTTAAGCCCCTCCAGCGGGGCCATGGCACGGGGCTCGGCGAGGGCGGTGAAGGAGCGGGTGCACATGCGCGCTGGCAGACCCTCGGCTGGAAACCAGGGCGTTTGGCTGTGGACATTCTTGCTCGGTATCTCCACCTGACCGTCTGGCCCAAGGCAGGCACTGGCCACGCTGCTGGCTGCTGGGAGGTCATCAAAGGGGCTTGGCACGGCACTGCCGGGGCCGTCCCTCTCTGGCAGCCGGCAGTGGACCCTCTTGTTGCGGAGGCTCTTGCCCCGTGAGATGGGCTCCGTCTTCCCCAGCGCGTTTTCGGGGGTGAGTTGCTGCTTCACTGTGACTGATGGGGCCAATTCGGCACCGGCTACCTCCGGGGGGGACGTCTCCCCGCCGCTGCTCTGCTCCTCGGGCTGGATGTGGGGCAGGGATGACTTGAACCAGCTCTTCACCTTGGTCTCTGTGCCCACGGCAGGGCCCAGCAGGATGACAGACTGGCCGGAGAGGCGCGCGGCTGGAGCTGGGCTCTCCTTCTCCACCGTGCTGACGGTCTCCTCAGCGGACATGGGCACCTCGCTGGAGGACAGCACAGCGGGCATCTCCGGGGGCTTGGGCGGCAAGGCGTCGTACGTCACCGACTTCTGCTCCGAGCCAGCCAGCTCGCAGAGTGAGGAGTATTCCTCTGCCTCCAGGTCCGATTCCTTCAGCTCTGGTGAGGAGATGATGGGGATCTCGCTGAAGTCCCCGGTCGAGCAGCAGTGCCGGGTGTCCTGCAGCCACCTCTCACTGTCTGCCTTTGTGGCCTCATCATAGGTCAGTGTCTCCTCCTCTTCCTCCTCCATCACCTGCTGGCCAAAATCCCGGGCCGGCTCGCTCTTGGCCGGCTGCTCGCCGTCGCACAGATCCAAGCCACAGGCATTTTTTTTCTCCTTGCAGGAGCCCACCAATTTGCCGGGGAACAAGCCCTTGGGGAGGTCGGTGGCTTGCAGCCCTGAGCCCAGCTCCTTCCACCGCAGGCATGCCTCGCCCAGGCTCTCCTCCGGCCAGTCGAAGTGCTCCATGGCATTCTCGGACCCCACCGAGTTGGCGGTGGTGTTCGAGTAGCAGCTGTAGCCAGTGGCCCCCGCGCTCGACGTCGCCGCCGGGATGCTGGGCTTGGAGTTGAATGCCAGCGGGGCCGCATCCTTCAGTGCATCCTTGGTCTCGGCGGCTGTGAACTCCACCTGGGGACCCTCATACACCTCCTCGCCAAAGTCCTTCCCTGTGCTGGCCCCCGAAGCCTTGTCCAGCTTGAGGGGCTCGGTGAGTGTGCTGGAGTCGCCCTGGCTGGGCCAGGCACCCTTCACCATGGAGTCCAGGCAGGGCCGGTGGTTCTCCAGCTGGAAGGGGGACTTAGTGGCCTCTTTGCTCAGCATGGGTGAGTTGGCCCAGGCTTTGTCCGCCTTCTCGCTGATGGCGTCCTGCAGGACAATGATCTCGGAAGCCAGCTCCTCCTGGGACAGGGCGCTGAGGAGCAGCCGGGGACAGTCCCGTTCGTTGGTCACGTACTTGGTGAAGGTCTCTAGGGGCAGGCTGGCGTGGATGCTCTGGAAGGAGTCGTCCGATTTGGTGGACATGTCGTCCGGGGAGGTCACAGAGCAGGTGGACACCGACTCGGGCTTCGGCTTGGAGTTGCTGTTGACGCGGGCAGGGCTGCGGTTCTGGTTGCAGTACAGGAAAGTCCTCTCCAGCTGGTCCTCCGACCCACTGAGATAGTCGGCGTCCTGCGTCTCGGCGTGGACGGACTGGGGGGTGCTCAGCGGGTCGGACAGGGGGGTCCCCACCTGCTCTGCCGAGTAGGTGCTGCTCTCGGGGCTGCAGTGCTGCCCCTTGAGCTGCTCAGGGGTCCTCGCCGGGGTCTTGATGCCCTTTTTCTGGGGCACAGCTGCTTTGGAAAGCAGCAGCTGCTGGACGGTGTTGGAGATGTTCTCCACCTGGGAGGTGAGCGCCGTCAGGCTCTGCAGGCTCAGGTCCGACAGCAGGTTTTCGGGCAGCTTCTCCTTCTGCAAGTTTTTGCAGTTCCCGGACTGAGCGTCGGGGCTCGTCCCGTCGGTGGGAGAAGGGTTCAGCATTTTTTTTTGGGGTGGGGCGGGGGTGGGGGCCCCTGCCGAGGGGGCGAGCCGGTGAGTGGCTGGCGCTGGGGCTGAAGGTCTGGTAGTATTGCTCCGGCGTTCGAACAGGTGGCGCGTCACCCTGGCAGTAGGTCTGTCCTGGCTGGTTGTAATGTTGGTACTTGGCCAGGTTTTGGTAGTGGAGGGTCTCTGGGGTGTGATGCCGCCCCTGCAAGGGCTGCGGGGGCTGCGGGGGCTGCGGCGGCT